GGCCCGCAGGCGCCCCGTCTGAGCCGGGCAGGGCTCCTCCTTCCTGAACCTCCATGTTCTGCAAAGGGAGGCAGCTCAGTGGATGCGACTTCTTCGCAACTCTGGGTGGTTTCGGGGGACCCCACCTTTTAGACTCGCTGAGGTTGGCGCTCCCAAGGGTGAGGTGTGTCCAGGAACCGGACAGTTATGTTTGGCCAGAGGGGTGGCCAGGGAGGGGCAGCTGGGCTCTCTGTCCCCCCCGGAGGCCTGTGTCTCAGGATCCTGAAAACAGAGCCGGGCACGGACCCACAACCTTCACTCTGAGTCCCGGGCCGCCACGGGCACCCTCTCTCCTCTCCACCCGGGAGCCCTGCGCCGAAGTGAGGCCAGCAACAAAATAGACCACCTTAGCGTTACGTGGCCGGTGTCACCTGCTGGCCGGACCGGGCTCTTGGCCACTTCTGATTCTTCGGGGGTTCTCATTGCCTCACCAAGCCATCCAATCCCAAGCACCTCCTCAGCGGTCTCGCAGCCCCTCTTCGTCGCTCACCTCCTGTCGCTCTGGGTCGCTGTTCTCCACTCCTGCTGTGGCCGAGCCTCCGGGCCCTGCCCCAGCCTGGCAGGCCTTCGCCTTGTAGATCGCCACTGTGTCTGGCAGAGCGCTCCTTGCTGGAACAGCCATGTCCACTGCTGCCGCCAGCCCCGGGCCTGCCCAGAGTAGGTCGCTGGGTGCATGTGGGTAGCCAGGCTGTGCTCACCAAGGGAGAGTGTGCAGAAGTGACCCTCGTCCCTGGCTATCGCCTGTGGCCCAGTGGCCTGAGGCTGGCCTAGGAGTGGGGAGGCTGCCCATGTCCCGCAGGGTCAGGGGCGGGGCCGTGACTCACGGTGATGGTGATGCCAGACGGTTGCGTCATGACATGAGTGCAGGACCTTGCGCCAGGCCCTTTGCTCATCCTGTCCCATTGCCCTGACCGCCCGCAAGGCAGTGACCACCAGTGTGAGCGTTCTACAGGTCAGCTCTGGGGTAGAATAGCCCAACACCCACACAGCCAGTGGTGGGGAGAGCGGCTGTTCAGCCCGCTGGCCTGACCATGTGGCCTCGGTCGCTGTGTCGACGATGGCCGTGGGGCCGGTGCCAGCCGAGTCAAGTGGGCGGGGCCCGGGGCACCGGAGCCCCCTTGCTCAGAGTGCATTTGCGCCTGGTCACTCCAGAGCGGCGGGCAAGGGCTTTGTGGTATTTGTGCCAGTATTTTTTCGACTTTGATTAAAACCACGCCTGGGGCACCACAGTAGCATGTGTGTGTGTCTGATGGCTCTTGGCTGTGCCTGATGTGAGCGGGGCCTGGCCTGGACGCCGGGCACGCGGTCGGGAGCCAGCAGACACGAGCGCCGCCTGCGGAAAGCTGATGCCAGCGGGCCCAGCAGCGGAACTCAGGAACCGAACACCCGCCGCGAGCCGCTCGGCCCGCAGGGGGAGATGAGCTGCCCGCAGGGGGACATCAGCTGCCCGCAGGGGGACATCAGCTGCCCGCGAGGGTCCGGGCGCCCCTGGGGCAGCTTTGGCCACGGCGGCCTCGCTGGGAGACGCCGTACAGGAAGCCGAGGACTGAGACCGGGAGCTGCCTGCCGAGGAGCACACGGCTCCGGGAGGGAACGCGGAAGGCTGCGGGCGGCGTGTGTCTGCCACCTTCCTGGTGTGGCGTGTGGCGGGCCGGTGAGCAAGGGCGGGGCAGAGGAGGCCGGCGTGCACACAGACACGCACGCTCGCGTGTGGGCACACACGGGCGCACACGGGCACACACAGGTGGCAAAAACAGTGTTCAAAATCCTACCGAGTGGGATTTGTTAATGTTACAATTTTTTTTTTTAATTTATTTATTTGTTCATACAGAACTGGGGTACAGGCCAGAGGCTCAGGGGCGGTGAGAGGCTTCACCAGAGACAGAGTGGGGAGCAGAACAGGCAGATCGACGAAGTACACTGCTGAGGGGAGCAGCGGGTGGGTCAGGAGAGGTCTGCCGCGCCATGTGGTCTCCTCCGGAGCAGGCGGGGATCGAACTCATGCGGAAGCGGCTTCAGATTCTCAGTGCTGTGCTTTAACCCGCTGCGCCACCAGGGAGGGCCGTTAATGTTACAATTTTTAAAAATCCTCTCTAGCATGAACAAAAGGCTGCCTGGGGACCCCTAATTGATTTCTGACCCCATTGGGTGGAGAATAGTCATCTGAACTTTGCCGCTCCGCCCCACGCTCCGCCCGGGCTCCTGCTGCTCATCATCACCCTGGCATCTGGGGGTCGGGCGGCCCCTGCCTGTTAGCTGGGGGGCTGTTCACCCCTCAGACTCTGAGCCTCCGGGTGTGAAGTGGAGGCGGCGGTGGGGGGCCCCGCCCCAGACGGTCCTGTGTGTCTCTGCTGCCCAGGACCCCGGCCACAGGCCACAGCACTGCCCAGAGGAGTCCATTCCCCCCATGTCGGCCCAAAGGGTCCCCCAAGCTCCTAGGAGCAGGGGTGTTGGCCCCTTCATGTGACCTCTACCTGGTCATCACCCCCAGAAAAAGCGGGGCAGGCGGGCAGCCCTGGGTTTCTGCCTTGGCGGAGCAGCGGAGGGCAGGGCTAAGTGTCCTGCTCCAGGACACTGCGGTCTCGTGGGGGCGGGCGGGGCGATTCTGCTGGGAGACGGTGACGGCTGGGCTGCATCTGACCCCCTGCAGCTCCGGTCGGGCCTCCGGCGCCCTCCACCGCCCCCACCCACTCGTCTCTCCCTCGCATCCCAGCCCAAGCAGGGACCAGAGTCCTGTCCAGAGCGTGTCAGGTGGGAGGGCAGGACTTAGCCCACCGCTACTCTGCCCTGGCAGTTTTCAGTGAAGGGCGAGTTGCCCCCCAGGGGATATTGGCAGCGCCTGGGGACAGTTTCTGGGTCTCAGCTGGAGGGGAGCACTGGCTTCGACTGGGCAGAGCCAAAAGCCTGCCCCACCGCCCTCAGCGTCTCCCACGGCAAAGGTCACACGGCCCCAAGGTCAGCGGTGGCCGGGATACACTGCCGGACAGCTCCGTCCATATTCACACCAGCCTTGCCTGCTGGGTGCTGCTGTTATTCTCCAGCGTCCACAGGGGGACACCGGGGTTAGAGTGGTGGATGGACGTGCACAGAGCTCTCAGCTGAGGGGACCCAGACAGGACAGGCTGAGCCAGAGCGAGACCCCGCTGCTGGGGCAGGTGACCTCACAGGCTTTAGAAAACCAGACCACACCGCCCTTGTGGCTGGAGTTGCGTTTGCTCGAGGCTGCAGGGTGGACTTGGTGGATGCGGGAGCTTCTGTCCAGGCCTGGCTGTAGGACAGACGCCTCAGAGGGGAGAGGACCGTGGGGCCAAGCCTGGGGAAACCGGACAGGTGAGGGCTTGGACGCTCCCTCGGCCAGCCGTTCCTTCCCGCGCTGATGGAGAGGGCTGAGCTCCCACCCTGGCCGTGACCTGTCCTCTTAGAGGGACACTCAGAGGGGCTGCCCTTAGGATTCGAGGTTGGCTAAGAGGCACAACGCAGCCACGGTTATCCAGGAACAGTGAGAGGAAACAGAAGGGCCAGGGCGGGGGTGGGGGCGGCAGGTTCTCGATTCCGAGCCATGAAGACGGGCCCTGAGGGCGGACCCCGGGAGGGAGGAAGGAGCAGGGGGTGAGGCCTCACACGGACCCCCCTGCTGGGAAGGTGGGCCCTGGCCCTGAGCACGCAGGGCTACCTGGAGCTGATACCTTCAGGCTGCAGAGGCTTCGGGCAGCTGTGCTTCGTGCTGCGCCCGCTTCTCGTCACACACCGCCGGTACCCAGACACGTGCTGGGCGGGACACCCACGGAGGGGCGTGCCCACGGGCCCCGCGCAGGTGCCGTGAGCAAAGCCCGTGTGCACAAAACAGGAAAACAGAAGCCAAGGCAAAGTGATACTTAGGAGTACCCGGGCCGCGTGCCGCCAGGGAGACTGTTCGTTGGCTTAGCGCGGGGACCGGCGCAGAACACCCGCTTCCCTGGCCCTTGCGCCTCACTCGGCCCGCGGCGTCTCGCCCACCGCAGCAGGCTCCCTCTTCTCAGCGTTGACCCCAGACTCTGCAGCCCCACTAACTCCTCCTTCCTTCCAGGAGATCAGCTGGTTTTCCAGGGCGCAGGCCCCTACCCCGAGGTGGAGGACGACCCTGGAGAGGCCTTTGAGTTTGAGGATAGTGACGATGACGAGGACACGAGCGCTGGCCTGGGTGTCCTGGGCGTCACTGCAGGGAAGGACGCAGACGCCTCGCTGATCCACTTGGACGCCACCCCCCAAACTGGTAATGTTTCTGGGAGCCTTGGGTCCTCCCATTTCCTGGCTTCAGGCTCCAGAGAGCTAAGGCTGGGTGGAGGAGCCAGGCTCCCCAAGATGCCTGGTCCTCCCTCCACTGTCCCCAGGAAGCAGGCAGGGAGGGAGGCCTGGGAAGGCCCGCATTCCACTGCTTCCCTGGGGAAGTGGGATTCCTGGCATTCCTGCTGCATCTGGCGGGGGCACTTTGGCACTTCGGGTCTGGAAGAGGTCCGTCTGGGCGGCTTGCATTTCTCCCGGGGAATCACACCCGCCAGAGCAGCGGCCTCCCAGAGGCCGGCTCCAGTCAGTCCAGTCCGCCGGCCCCAGAGCAGTGGCCCTGGGGGTGGGAGGGCCCTGATAAGGCTGGTGTTAAATGGCACCTTTGGGGCTCTTAGATTTTGTCATCTGGGAGAGACCAGGGACCGGACCAGCAGGAACTTCCTGCAGGCTTGGGACAAGGGGCTCCTTGAGGAGCTGGGGGTGGGGGGGAGGCCCAGGGCAGGCAGGGCAGCTGGTTCTGCTTGGCGTTGCCATGTGGGCCAAGGGGGTGCGGGTGGGAGTGGGGAGGTGTCGGTAGGACAGGTAGGAGAGCTTAATGACAGTGCAGGGCGGAGGGAGGAGGCAGAGATCCAGCAGGCCAGCCAGGCCCGCTCTGGCGCCCCCAGGGAGGCTGGGAAGGGGCGGGACGGGCTGAGTGCCTGACGGCTCTCCCTCTGCTGTTCCCTGCAGACCCAGACCCAGCGGCCGTGCCCCCGACACAGTAAGTGAGCCTCGAGTTTGCCGTGGCACTGGGGGTAGGAGGGGCTGCGCAGGGGGCGTGGGCAGGGCGGGCTGTGGCCCAGAGTCCCAGGAGCCGTCTCTGGCCAAGGAGGATGCTGTTCAGGATGCTCGGCCCCAGGGGAAGGTCATTCCCCTTTATTTTGTGCACAAGCCTGTGACGTGAAGCAGGCTGGGCTCCGACCCCGGGGCGTGGAGTGCCAGGGCCGGCGGCTGCTGTTCCGCGCACCGCAGACCGGGGCAGTGGTCTTCGCCGTCCGCCTTTCCCGCCCACCGCTGCTGTTGCCAGGGACGCTGCCGGTCCCAGCCCGCGGGGCAGGGCCTCCCGATGGCCAGGGCCTCCCGATGGCCAGAGCCCTGGTGCTGGCCGGCGGCCCGGGTCTTGCCCGCCCCAGCAGTGGCCGTGGGTCCTTTCCCGGCTGTGGTTCTCTCACTGACAGGACAGGCCCCTGGCCCCTCCCTAGGGGGAAGCGCTGCCGGGTGAGACCAAGTGGCAGGCGTGGCCACTGTCCCCTCTGTGGTCTTTGGCCGCCGCTCTGGCCCAGCTGCCCACGGTGGGCTGGGGCCCGAAGGCTGAGGCCACGCCCGTGCTCCCTCCCTGCCGCCGCTGCCCTTCTTGGAACTCAGAGGTCTGAGGGAAGCAGAAGTAGCCAGCGGTGGATGGAGACCCTGGGGCCTGGGGTGGGGGTGCGCAGCCCTCTCTTGGTCTTCTTGGGAGCCGGGCCAGGACACCCCGCTGGAGCGGGGCGGCCTGGGCCCCGGGAGCAGGAGGTCGTCTGGGTCCCCGTCCCTGCCCAGGACCCCCGTCTGTGCGCACTGGACGCCGGGAGTGGGCGGACCTTGGCAAGGCTTCTGCTGGGCTGCTGCCGTGTAATTAGGGCCAGGAGCAGGGGCCAACCTCTCCTCCCTGAAGTGAGTCAGCAGCACCTGCTTGTGCTACCCTGGGCTGGGGAGGTTGCCGCTGGCCGGGATCGCCCCCGGATTCCGGGCGGCCACGAGGGCAGGCCAGGCTGCAGCTCCCATGAGACTCAGCTGGTGAGGGGCGCAGGCACGTGCAAGCAGGACGGGGGCTGGGCCGCGGGGTCGGCCAGGCGGAGCCGGTCAGGGAGGCTTCCTCAGGGGCCTGCGTGGAGCAGGGGGGCTGGTGCCGCCTCGCCCCTTGTCCGGTGCTCCCTCCGCTCCTGGCTTCGCCCCCTCCCTCCCTGTCAGTGACTTAAGGCGTCTCACTCCTTCCCTGGGCAGAGACATTCCCTCCTGGAGCCCCTGGGGGGGAGTCGTTGGTCACTTGCTTCTCAGTATTCCCTCCAAAAGGGAACGAAAAGGCAGTCTAAGCCTCAAGTGGAGGAGATTCAGCTTGTGTGTCTCCTTGGCCCACCTGCCCGGGGCTTGGGAATGGCCTTGGGCTCTGCCAGGTTGCTTGCGGCCTTGCGAGGAGCTGGGGCTGCCCACCCGGGGCTGACCGCAGGGCTAGCACAGCTGCCCAGATCGGCTGCCCGAGTGACCCGGGCCCAGCAGTGTGGGCGGTGGCCGCCGGGTCCCCAGCTCGGGGGCGAGCTGGCCTGGCAGGAGCATGGTGGGCCGCCAGCCGGTGGCCAGGCTCACCGAGGGCCTGGTTGCTGGGGCTCTGGGCCCACTGGCCAGGCTTCCAGGCTGGCTCTACTGCTCACTGGCTCTGTGTCAGGGGCAAGTTGCTTCCTGTCTGAGTCTCGGTTTCCTAATTAGTGAAAGGCAGCGGGTGAGTCTCCCGTCTTGCAGGGCTCGGTGAGGGCACCACGGTTAGCATCTGCCCAGCGCTTGGTCTGGCTGGCGCGTGCTGGCCACTCCCAGTGGACTTGTGGTCGCCATTCTGCATCCGGGTCTCGGTTTGGCTGTAGTGGCAGCTGGTCGGACCCCGCACGCTGGGCGTCAGAGCGGCCTGGGTGTGGCCCGGCTCTGGCCGACCTGCCGCCCCACCTCTTGGAGTCTGCCCTGGGACGGGAGCCACAGCTGCGGGCTGGGCGGTGGCTAGGAGGACGGCGAGGCCGACGGGCAGTCGAGGTGGCTCCGCAGGCCTGCCTGGGCGCCGAGGCCCATGGGCATCGGTCCCCCCGCTAGCCTGGCCCGGTCTCTGGAGGAGGCAGCCAGCCTGCGGCGGGGTAAAGGGGGCTGCTGGCATTGTCAGGTGCTGTTGGCCGGAGCCCGTGGGTGATTTTAGGCTGCTCCAGAATCCCTAGGGGTGAGGATGGTCTCAGTCGCGTCCACCCTGCTGTTGGGCAAAAGCCACCTTCAGAGTGGTCGGGGGAGGGAGGTGCCCGAGGTCTGTAAGGGACGGCGGTGGGGCAAAGTGAAGAATCAGAACACGAGGTGCCCCGCTCACGGGTGGCACTTTCCCTTACCCCAGCCGGGCACAGCTGGTCAGATATGACGTCATAATCACAGTGATAAACAGTCACCACGGAGCAGCGGGCACAGAGCGGAAGCCTCTCCCATCCTCCCCTCTCCGGAAGGCACCTGCTCCCCTACAGCTGGGGCCTGGCTCGGGGAGCTCACTCCCGACAGAGACAGTGCTGGTCCAAGCCCAGGGCCTCATGTTGGGGTGTGGCTGACCCCCAGGGAACCAGCCGACGCTGTGTACTTGCTGGAGTGAGGATTTTGCCTGAGAAGAGATGCTCTGAGCCCTTGGGGGAGGCGCCTCCAAGCAGTCGGTGGGGCCTCCCACACACACCCCGCTGGGAGCCAGGCGCGGTGGCCTGTGCTGCCTGTGATTCTGGGGGAGGCCCCTGTGCCCGACATGGGCGCAGAGTGAAAGCAGACTTCCCTCCCCCGCCCCAGGTTTGGTGATGGCGGAAGGGGCGTGCCAGTGTCTCCCTGCTGCAGGTCGGCGCCATGGAGCGAGGGTTTGTTGGATGGTGGGAGTGGGGGCATGTGATTGCTGCTGTATCTGCAGCAATAAGCCAAACGAATAAATTCGGGGCTGGCTCAGCCTGCCTGACCCCACGGTACCCCCCAGAGCCCACAGGCAGGGCAGATTGTTCCTGGCGACTTTGAGGCCCTACACTCACTCCTGAGCTCCTGCGACTGACAGAGGCGCCTGGGCCCAGCGGCCGCTGGGACGCGGGTCATGCGGCCACTGGGCGCCTTTCAGCGCTCCAGCCCCTGGACTCTGTCCCCCTCTGGCTTGCTTGTTTTCCTGCCAGGCCCAATGACGCCCCCAACTTCAGTGTTTCCCGGTGGGTCAGGCCTTGGACTTCCTGCCTGGCTGCTGGGCCGCTCAGTGGCTCCCTGGAGGTGTCTGCTGGCTGCCCTTCCTGGGTCCATCCAGACAAGATGGACTGTGCTGCCCACCCTGGCCTGGATCCTGAGGGAGGTGGTTGGGCAGCTGGACTTCTGGGAAGGCCAGGAGCTGTGTCCTCCCTGAGGACGCGTGAGCCAGGTGCCGAGAGGCCAGAAGGGGCCACGCTCAGCATTCAGACAGGACAGATTCAGGCACCTGACGCCTTCTTGGCCACAACCTGAGGCTTAGGAAGCCTTGGTGTCGGGACCATGGTGGCTCTTAGGGAGGGCAAGCTGACGAGGCAGGCGTGCCCCAGACGCCCTCCGCCAGCAGAGCTCAGCCATGGAGTGCTCTCTCTCAGGTTTTCAGCGCCTGGAGACCCAGCCCTGTGGCGAGAGCCCTGGGCTGTGCTCTGGCCAGCTGCTGCCTCCCCAAACCTGAGCTTCTGCAGCCCTCGGGCCCCGCAGTGGTCACCTGCAGCAGAGTTGCTCGTGGAAGCGACAGGGGTCAGGCTGCTTTCTTCTCCGGCCCTGGTTGCAGGGTTTCCACAGTAGGGCTGTGGTCTTTGGATCACCATGTCCTTGAGTACCCACTAAAAACCAGCAGCCTCCCCCGAGAGGTCCCCATGGACCCGTGCGGTACCCTGAGCGCCCCTTGGGGGCCTGGTGCGTCCTGCCCGGGGTCCCCCTCATTCACCGTCCACCCACCCACGTTCGGTGTGCAGAAGCGCGATCCCACAGGCGACACAGGCCACCCAGCTTGTTGGCCCCTCCCCCATCCCCACAGCCTGAGGGCATGTCACCCTGTGGCCAAGGGACTTCGCAGCCCAGTCAGTTGAGGCTTGTGCCTTGGGGACACTTCTGCAGACTGCCTGGGAGACCCAGGCATCCCAGACGCAACCAATCAGGGGTCCCAGTTGGCTAGGGAATTCTGGCTTCTTCCTCCCTCCCCCTCCCTCTCCCACTCCCCCTCCCTCCCTCCCTCTCACCTTCCCTGCACCTGCTTTCTTGTCTCCTGAGGCCCATTCTGGACTTTCACCCCTCCAGATCTGTAAGATGATACATGCGCATTGTCCTCAGTCAACAGGTCCGGGTAATTTGCCCTGCTGAGCCTCAAGAGGGAGGTGGGAATGTTGGGGGTCCCCTTTTGCCGGCCTGGAGAGGTGTGGTCACTGGCCCCAGGGCCGGGGCTGGTAGGTGGTGGTGCCGAGGCTCCAAGTCGGGGCTGGGGGGCCCTCGTCTGTCCTGTTGGTTGGCTGGGAGTCCGGCTGCCCTTCACCCCTGTGCCCCACATGTCTTTATCCAGGAAGAGCCTGGTGCTGCAGACCCCAGCCCCCCCAGCCTCCCTAGCCCCAGCCAGGGCCTTTCCTTTCTTCCTAGCTTTCTTTTTTTTTTTTTTTCCTGGTAAGTCATATGTTTATTATATATATATATATATAAAAGGAAAGTACAGAAAATGACAGTAAAAACGCGCTTCAGGCCTACCGCGGGGCTCCTGCCCAGCTCCGTTCTGGGTGTCCGGGGCGCGGAGTCTTCCTCGGAGGGCGCTTGGCTCTGTCGCACACGCTGTTTGCTGTTTCGCGGCTCTCTTCCTAACCTACCGAACTTGACTTTGCATCCCCCTGAGGGGGCCGTGTTCTACACACCCCACCGGGCCCTTGAGAACCCATCGCTGGGGGCAGGGCCTGTCCACAGTGGACCTCGGGTTTCGGGGAGGAAGGTGTGCCTCGGAGGGAGCGGGAGGCCGGGGTGCGGCCCTGGAAGGCCTCCTCGGCTGTGACCTCCAGGTCTGTGTCCTGGACACTGCCTGAGGGGTCCAGATTTCCCTCCCTGCCCTACTCCAGCAGTAAGTGGGTGTGTGCCCAGTGGGGGCCAGCTTGGACAGACAGACTGGAATCGCAGTGCTTCTTGTCGGGGAGGGGTGGCGGGCCCCAATGTGCAGAGTGGACCTGCAGAGGGGCCGGGAAGGATGGGGCTGGGAGTAGCTGCTTACCAGAACCCTGAGAGGGAGGGCTTGTCACTCCATTTCACGGACGGGGAAACTGAGGCACAGAGCACCACTAAGGGCCTTGCTGTCCTGGCCTTGTTTGCTCCTCACAATGGGAAGTAGGCCCAGTTATTCACTGGGCGCAAGCGCCGTCCCCGTTCACAGAGCAAGTAGAGGTACCCCTTATCCCAGGCCTGCTGACTCCCGAGCATCCGCTTCCTCACCCCTCAGCCTGTGACCCCTCGCTCTCGGCCTTGGCTACACAGTAGAGCCAGCGGGAGCTTTAAAAATGTTGATGCCGGGCCCTCCCTGGTGGTGCAAAGGGTTGGGACGCAGCACTGCAAACTGGCCGCAGCTGCTTCAGTGCGAGTTCGATCCCCAGCCCCGGAGGTGACCCACATGGCGCAGCAGACCTCTCCCTCCCTGCTGCTCCCCTCGGCAGAGTACTTCGTCAATCTGTCTGTTCTGTCCCCCACTCTCACTGCCCCTGCACCTCTGGCTTGTACCCCAATTCTGTATGCATACATAAATAAATCTTTTAAAAATGCTGTTACCTGGGCCCCCTGGAGAAAAGGTCAGAATTGGGGTTGGGCCTGGCCAGGTTGTGGGGGGGCCTCCTGGGGACTTGCGTCATCTCATCAGATGGTTATAACCCTTCTGCCTTTAACAGATCAGAAAGAAGTTGGGGCAGGAAAGAAATCTGGCAGCAGGCTCACCTGCTGTTCTCTTGTTGTTCTTGGAGTTAGGGGTAGTGGAGAATGGGGGCGGGGAGGGAATTGCTGGGGGCCACGCCCCCTGGGCTGCTGGGGATTCAGGAAAGGCTATATAAGGCAAATGTCCTGGTCCTCTATTCCCCAAAGATGACATTCTTTCCTCAGTCATATTTTTCATACCTTGCCCTGGAAGAGGCCCCAGAAATGCCATGTGTGGGCTGGTCCAGCTGCCCAGACCGTCAGAGCTGTTGGGTTTTGGGGTCTTCTCCCTGAGCACCCACTCAGGGACACCCGCTGTGTCACCTGTGGGAAAGAGCCTCGAGGAGCCGTCCTCATACAGCTTCTCCAAGCAGCGCCACACTGTGGCTGTGGTATTGCGTCCTTCTCCACACTGGGCGTCTGACCTTTACAGAGCCCGGGAGGGGGTTGGGGGTTGGCGGTTGGCGCCCGCGAGGAGTGGGGCCGCCTGGAGCTGCCCCGCTGTCTGCAGGCCCTGACTTCCCTCACATCCCCATGGGTCTGGGAGAGTGGGTGGGCCCGGGAGCCCCCAGGGCACAGTCTGCCTAACGGGGCTGTCCTGGGGCACTGGGAGGGTCCTTGCCGCCATCTCCTCCCCTCTACCCAGCTGCTCACAGTTCCTCTCTGCTGGCTTCCTTTGCATGGGGAGGTGGTGACCCCACCTTGTCAGACTGGTCTCTTCAAGCCACTCGCCTTTTTTCCTGTGCAAACCCAGAGGCTTAAGAAGTGCAGGAAACTGAGATAAGGGAGAGATAATTGGCCACTTACAGCTCCTGATGGCTCTTTGCTTATCAGGAACCTCTGGAGGCCCCAGAGGGAGTGTTTGCAGAGTTGACTTTCCAGGCAGCTTCCTGGGGCGGGGTTCAGGGCAGTGAAGGGCCCGAAGGGCCCAGGAGGGAGGAGGCTCTTTGCATCTCCTTCCAGTCACCCACACTGTGAGCCTACAGCTCCGCTGCCGGAGACCCTCTCACCTGGCCTGGGGGTGAGCCAGCAGAGCCAGGCAGAGCTCTTCAAGTTGTAGCGCTGCCACCTGCTGGCAGGTGACTGGGGCCATGGACTTGTCCATCTGGACCTCAAGCTCCAGGACACCGCGGGCCCAGCCGGGGCGGGGGCTTCTCGAGCCCAGCCTTCCTGAGACCGACCGGGCCACCATGGCCACCCCCTTCTCCCGGGGGGCTCCTGATTTCTGGGCTTGCCAGGGAGTGGGGGTACGCAGGAGTGGGGCTGCCTTACACCGTGTGACACCCCACGGCCCCACCTTCCAGGAGGCCTAGCCCGGTCCCTGGGCCGCCTGCTCCCTGGACCTGTGACTGGCTTTTCCGGTCGTGCAGGTGGCTTAGACCTTTGCTGTCCTTTCTGGTGGCTGCCAGCCACAGGTGGCTCTTTAAAAGCCAATTACAACTTAAAAATAAATATAAGCCGAAACTAAGCTCGCTCATGCTCAGCAGCGGCTCAGGTTGCAGCCTCTGGCTTTCACTGTGACATGAAGCATTTCCAGGCCCCTCATGGAGCTGCCCGGCTCGCCCAGAGATGCCCGCCCCGACACTGCCAGGGTGTACCCAGGGTCCTTGTGATGCTCTCTGGTTGACCCGCTCCCGTCCCTTGGATGGAGACTTGAACTTGTCACTGTGCCCAGGGCAACTTCTTCCCTAACCTAAAAAAACAAAGCCAAGACCCAAAAAACCGAGGCTTGGGGACCTCAGGATGCGGCAGGCCTGCGATGCTGGTGGATGTCTGAGCGTGCTCGCCTTCCCGTGCGTGGTGGGGAGGTCACGGCTTTGCAGGCAGCAGGCCGGAGTGCGGCTCCCTCCAGGAGCGGGGCCCTGGCCTCGTGGCTCAGTCTGAGCCTCAGTTTCTCCGTCTGCAGAGCCAGGCAGCGGCGCCCCCCTGTGCCGCCCGCAGCGTGTGGCTGCGGCCTCCTGACGGGCGGGTTGCGGGCGTGGGTGAGAGCAGCCAGAGCGGGCGAGGCCCCTCCCGTGCGCCGTCCGCCCTGGGCCTGTGTCTCGGCCCACGGCATCCACCCCGGCCCTTGCCAGCCTCGGAGACCAGCCCATCCCGGTGCGCTGGGATTAACCTGCCACCATGCGTGCTCTTTCCAAGCTCGCCCACCGTGACCCTCACCAGAGGCCGGTGCCCCGGCCCGAGACCCCACTTGCATGGGGAGCGGAAGCTGAGATCCCCCCGAGGCGCCCCGGCCAGGGGAGCCCTGGCCACACGTCCAGCTCTCAGTGCCTCTGAGGACGGGGCATGGGGAGATGCCCCACGACGAGTGGCTTTGGGGGGCGTGGCTCGGCCCCACCGTTGCCGGCTGCTGCGAGGTGCCGCCGCCTGGCGTGGGGCTGGGCCCAGGAGCCGGCCGTCTGGCCCTCGGGCTCGCCGCTCACCTGTGCTGCTGTGGCCCGCAGGGTGCTGCCCGCGGTGAGCAACGGGGATGCCGGGGACGCGGCTTTCTCTGGGATCCGGCGCGGCAGCTGGAAGCAGAAGAGCTCCCGCCGCTGTAAGTACCCCCAGTTCTGGGTGCCCCCAGGGCCGCCTGACCAGGACCTCAGACCTCAGCACCCTCGGAGCTGAAGGCCACCCTCACAGGGGCGCTGTGGGCCTGGCAGCGGCTCTCAGGGCCCGCCACACGGGCCGCGCAGTGAGAGCTGTGCCCGGAGCAGACGCGAGGGAACCCCCACAGCAGCTGGGCCAGGCGGGGCCGGGGTGACCGGTGACCAGACCAGTCCCCGGGAGCAGACGCAGACAGCCTGCAGGCCGGGTGCCAGGATGGGGAGACAGGAGGCAGAGGGCAGGGGCGTGGGGTCGTGGGAGGGGAGCGGGCAGGGGCCGCTGCAGGCGCCTGAGGATCTGGGGCGCCCGCCCCCAGGGAGCAGGCAACAGGGAGCCCTGGAGGCAGGATGTGGCCTTGCAGTTCAATTTCTGCTGGAGCCAGTGGGGTCTGTCCAGAGCAGGCCGGGGAGAGCTGGGCTGGCCCAAGAGTCGCAGGAGGCAGAACTCGTGGGGCAGCGGGGTGGCGGCGGGGGGCGGGGTTCTGGGGTCCCAGCGGCATCGCAGTTGGGACAGTGGGGACACCGCGGTCCATCCCTCCGTCTTCCCTCACGTGCCGGGGGAGGGCAGCGCCTGTCAGAGGAGGGGCTGGTTTCCGAGTCCCGCAGGGGCCGAGGCCGCAGGATGGAGCTCGCGTCTCGGGGAGACTCCTGGGCGTGTCCCCGTTGGCACCTCTCGCCCGGGCAGGACGTGGGCTCCGCCACACTCCACCCAGGGGGCGTCGGGACGCGTGTGCTCATTTGCTGGGTTTCGGGGGCCTCAGCCCCCCTTTCCAGGTCTACCCTGCCCCCACTGACATGCCCTGTACTCACTAGGGCTGCCTTGCCCTCACCCGCTGGGGGGCAGCGGCCCCTGCTGGGGTGCGTCTGGAGACCTGGACCGCAGAGCACGCTGGTGCCGCAGTCAGACAGATGGGCGGCCGCGGCAGGGGCCGGCGGGCGTCTGCTGAGGTCACTGGGAGAGCCAGGGCTCCCTGAGAGCGGCTGGTGGGGGCTCCCCAGGGCCGGCCCGGTAGCCAGGATGCCGGGGGGGGGGGTGCCGCCGGTGCCCGAGCCAGCGACTCTTCTGCTTCTTTCCTCAGTCGACCGGTTCACGTTCCCCGCCCTCGAGGAAGATGTGATTTACGACGACGTCCCCTGTGAGAACCTGGACGCCCATCAACCCGGTACGGCCTCTTCCTGCTTCTCTGGGGTCCAGGCGTGGGCCGGGGCTTTCGGGTCTCTTCCTGCCAGTCGCACCCAGGCGCGGCCCAGCCCTCCTTGTCTTCATAGAGAGCGTCAGTCATCCTGGGCACACGTGGGCAGCACGGAGCCCGCGGCCGGGCTGGGGCTGGGGAGGGCAGGGCTCCTCGGCCAGGGACCCTCGGGTGTGGCCCCTGGCCAGCACTCGCTTTCTCCTTCAGGAGAATGGGTGACGACCGGGCAGCCCACGCGTTCAAGCGCTCGGGGAAAGGACAACGTGTTGAACCCAAAGGGCGATGCGGACAGAGCTCCAGGAAGCCTGTGCCCAGCTGGCGCGGAGCGGGAGCGGGCAGCGCGGGGGAGGGCTCCCAGGGCAGCCCCAGCAGGAGCCGCTCTGCCTACGCGCAGTGGGCAGCGACGCTGCCTGTGCGCCTCGGGGGGCCTCACGCCCCCTTTCACAGACCAGCCCTGGGGCTCACACCGGGGTGGTCCTCACTGCAGGGCTCTGCTGCTGCCCCCGAGGACGTGGGCCGCCGGTGGTGGCAGACACTGGCCCTCGCCCTCACTGTTCAGTGTGCCCCGTGAGGTTGGCAGGGCTCGGGGTGCCAGCTGGTGGCCACCTTAGAGAGGCTGGGGTACCAGCCGGACAGCAGAGCCGGGCTCTGACGCCCGTCTGCTTTCAGCGGCTCCTCACCTCCTGGGGGGACACCCCTGCTTCTGCCCGGCTCCCGGTGTGATGGGGTGCCTGCGCGTCCGGGGCTTACGAGGGCTGAGGTGGGAGAGACACAGACCTGCCATGACTCGCGGGAGCCCGGAGCCCGCTCCTGGCCTGCCGTCCCAGCCCAGCTACGCCCACCCCTTTAGCGAGCCCGGCAGGAGTTTGGAGCAGCTCCCTGCCCGTGAATCGCTCGAATGCTGGGAGCGGTGGGGAGAAGACACCGTGTGCTGGGAGGCGATGGGGTCTCCGGGAAGGTCCAGCGCCGGGAGGTCTGAGCGGCCTGAGGTTGGGCCCCTGGGGGCGGTCTTCCCATATGGTCAAATCAAGGCTCCCGGTCCCAGCAGTGTCCCCAGGGGATGGCCACGTCCCGGCCTCCTAACATGCTCTGAGGCGGCCTGGGACTCAGCTCTGCGCCTGCAGCCCGAGCCCCGGGACCCACCACAGGGCGCGGGAGGGCCGGGCATGGCCTCGGGGTTCCACCAGCACTGGCGGACTCACGGTCACTGCACGGATGTGGGCTCAGCCCGGCTTGAGGGAGAGGGTGTCGGCTGACGGGGAGCCACACGTGCCAGTGGACACACCGTCCTGGGTTCAGTTCCGGGCTTTGCTGCCCATGAGGGCCCAGGGCTCTGGGCCCCCGGGCCTGGCTTCTCTCCCATAAATCTGGCTTCCTCCTTAAGTTGCTGAGGATTCTCTGAGTTACTGTGAGGTGCTGAGCACCCGTGGTGGGGCTTGCGGAAGGAGCAGAGGTGGGCGCCAGGACCCTGGCGTCTCTGGAAGCACTTGACATCTGGACCCACCACAGGCCCAGGAATCTGCTGATGCAGCTGCCCCTGGACAGAATGTTCTAGTTGGGCCAGTGGCGGGGCCTCCTTGGAAGCCCAGGGGTCTGCAGCCCCTCCCACGCACGGTCTCACCGTGGGCCAGCTCTGTCTCCTCATCTGTCTGACTGGAGGGGTGATGTTTTACACCTCCTGACCCCTCAGAGCCTCAGAGAATCTGTGGGGCTCTGTGGCACTTCGGTGGAGGTGGCTGGGGAGGCCGGTGCAGGCTGACCTCGCAGGTGTTGCTGCGGCCCTGCCTTTTGCTCATGGGTCACGGGTCTCCCCTGCGTTAAGAGAGCAACAGGCCTGGCTTTGTGAAGGTCGCAGCCTGGGGCCGGCTGCTTCACTTCCTGGAGGCATTAGTCACTATCATCTTTTGCTTAAAAATAACCTCGAGCTCCCTCCTCACCCTGGGACCCGAGGCTGCAGCTAAGCCTGAGCGCTTCCGTCTTATGACTTGGCTGAGTCTCCCCGGCCTCCTCACATCCCACTCCTGCTCCCTGCTCTCCTGGGGGGGGGGGTGAGGAGGGGCACCCCAGATCAGCACAGTGACCCCCGGGCCCACCGGAGCCCCCACAAGTGGGGGCCAGCCGCTCTTGGCCTAGCGCCTGCCACGTGCCAGCTTCTTTGCCAAGAGGGTTTCGTTCCTCCCTTACTTACTTGACCTTCCGGCGTGTCACCCCCGTTCTGTGGCGAGGTCCCCGGCAGCCAAAGCTCCCGCTCAGCGGCTTACGTGGGTTCTGTCTGAGCAGATTATTTATTTATTTCTGAGCACATTAGAAAAAAAAGAACCTTTCCCAGCGCCAGATTTCTTCTATGTTGACAAGAGCATCTTCACCTTCGGGCGCTTTCTGGGGCTTGGCCTCCCTTGGGTGAGGTCTGCGGTCAGGTCCCAGGCGACGTGAGCGGGTGAGACTGGGCCTTTCTACAGCGGTGGAGCTGGGTCTCTCTGGTCCGGTCCGGCGGGCGGGGGAAGCTGCGTCTCACAGCCCACTTGACAGGGACCCGGAGTGACCGGCCCCTTTTCAGTTCAAGGCATTGCTGTGGGTCTGTGGGCCAGACGCGCCCCCTGCCGGCCCATCCTGGACACACGGGGAGCTGGACTGGGGCGAGCGATTCAGATTCCTTGAGTGGTCCCCATGTCCTGTGCTTCAGCCCTCGGGGTGCTGAGGCCAGAGTCAAAGGCTGCTTGAGGACTTGGCCCAAGGGTTTATCTTTTCCACTGAAAGCAAGGAGGCTCAGAAGTTGCTTCGAGATCCCCGAAAAGTAGCGTGGAAAGTGGGAGGCGGTGGCAGGCCCGTGGGGGGCCTGCCTCGTTTCTTTGCTTTTCTCCCGTTTCCGTGTATCCCCCTCACTGTGATGCTGTGCTGTCTCCACTTTATGGACGAGGCGGCCGAGCTAGAGCCCCAGGGCCTGCTGCCCCCCCCCCCCCGGGCTCAGAAACTGGGTGGGTGGGGGGCTTGGCCCGGGCTGCGGGCCCTCACCAGCCCTGTCCCTTGGCCAGCAGGGGCGGAGAGAAACCTGCTCTACGAGGATGCGCACCTGGACGGGGCGCCCCGGGAGCCCGAGGACCTAGGCTGGAGCTCCAGCGAGTTTGAGAGCTACAGCGAGGACTCGGGGGAGGAGGCCAAGCCTGAGGCAGAGCCCGTCAAGCACCGCGTGTCCTTCCAGCCCAAGGTGAGGGGTGGGGCGTCTCTGGCCGGAGACCCCGGGAGGGACGTCGGGTGGTGACGGCCAGCCCCGAGGCCTGCATCTAAGCACCAGTGACCAAGCAGTGTGTGGTAAGCGGGAGAAGTGTCCTAGGGAGCCCCGAAATGGGGGATGATCCGCCAGCCTTGCGGTTTGGCGTGGAAAGGCCTAACCTGGGGGTGGGAGGCTTGGTGCCTGGCGCAGGGGGTCCCCCGCCCCATCTTACAGTACAAGCTGCAGGAGGCGGGGCTCGCTTCTGGCTTCAGAATCCCAGTCATCACGGAGCCCCTCGACGGATGGCGCTTGGGCCAAGTCAGCTGGACCTCCGGGCCTGTGGGACGTGCTCTCACACCAGCCAGTCCCAGACTCGCCAGTCCTTTCCGGGGATGGGCAGCGGAGCCTGCCCGTGGCTGAGACCACCTGCCTGGGGCCTTCTTGCCAAGGCCTTCATGCATTGGTTTCTTCTGGCGTTTCTGCCTGGAACAGGGTTCATTCTGCTGATTTCATGGAGGGAGCCCAGAGAACCCAGAGGAAGGATCGGCTGGCTCCTCCTTTCCTGTGACAGCCGGCTCCTCCCCTGTGCTCTCTATCCATGCTGAGCTTTGGGATTTAATGGGAGCAGCTTCCTACAGACTCTGCCCAGCCAGAGGTGACTGGGTCCCTCTCGGGTTCCTCTGAAAAGACACAGATGGGCTGCTGGGCTCACCCGGGCAGCAAGGCCTGCTCTGAGGCTTTCTTAGTGCCTCCTGCATGTTTCTGAGTTTGGGGGCCCCCTGTGGGAGAGGGGTGCTGGCCAGAGCAGCCCCCACACCTTAGAGTCTTTCCTCAGATCAAATCAGGCTCCCCTAGTTCTTGGGGACATGGGCGAGCAGGTCTCTCCTGACCCCTGGTCTCCTCGATGCCAGGCCTGCACTGACCAGGCCCTGGAAGTTGGCCTTGACATCTTGCCAGTGAAAAGTTAAGCATCTCTGACACCTATTGTGTGTCCAACCCACAGCTTAGGGTGTGGCCTGGGGTGCCCGGGAACAGGAGGACCTGATCCAGGCTCAGCCGACCTTTGTGGTTTAGGGGCAGATACTATTAGATAAATAGCAGTTTGCTAGAAGCAGCGGGAAGTACCTATGTCAAGGCAAGCGCCGCTGGCTGCAGGCCCCGTGATGGGTGGGGTGTGGAGCGGCTGGTCGGAGGCGGCTTCTGAGTGGCGAGCTGGGCGCTCGCATGCAGAGGCCAGCGGGGACGGGACTTGCTCTGTCCTCGAAGGGCAGCGTGCATGCTTTAGGGGGACGGGAGCGTTTGGTTACGCGGCTGCTGGTGCCCGGGCGGCCTCTCCGTGAAGGCAGGCAGCTGCGTCTTGGACAGCGTGACCAGGACCCTTGTTCTCGGCTTCTGGCTGTCCCTCCTCACCCCCCACGGCCACCCTGCCAGGCCCTGCCTTCTTGCTGGGGACCTGGAGGGAAGGCTGGGCTCCTCTCAGAGGCTGGGAGGTGTGGAGATGTGGGGCTCCCCAGGGCTGGTCCCCAGATTGCAGGGGCGTCGGCATCATGCGGGAAGCTGATGAAGTCACAGGCGTCAGTGCCCCGCTCCCAGGCACTCAGGCTCAGAGTTGGGGGGCCCCATGACCCACTTTAACCTGATTTCTGACCCTCCCAAGCACTGGGAGAAATGCTGGGCTGTCTTGGCCTGGCCGGCCCCAGGGCTCTCTAGGGGATGCCCATGAGTCCCTCGTGCCCCCCAGATGGAGACCGTGGGCTCCTCCTCTTCAGACAGTGTGGCAGCGGGCAGGGGGTTCTCCCCACGGGGACTTCTCTGGCTGTGGCCAGGGCCGGCCTGCCTGTCCCCAACAACAGCTCCGGGGAGGAGAAAGGCTGTGGGGGGCCTTTCCTCTGGCACCTGCCTCTGCCCGGGAGCGCTGCTGAGCCCGCCTACACCTCTGCGCCCAGGCCTGCATGTCTTGTGGCCGCGCTGCTCAGCTCTGTGTGCTGTGTGCTGTGGGGTGCTGGGCACAGAGTTCTGGGGAAATGTTTGTCCTGTGTCTGGAGCCTGGCAGCGCCCTGCACCCGCCCTGCTGTAGAACCAGCAGAGCCCTTCCGGGAGATGTGGAGAGGCCAACCCTTGGGGTGCCTGTCTGGCCAAAGAAGTGGCCGAGGGGGCTGCAGAGGAGCCTTGAAGCACCTGGCCCGGGTCTAAGCAGGAGCCTGGCCCAGTTGAGCCGGCTGGTTTCCACTGCTTACCGCCCACGGGCGCCGGGGCTGTTTCCTCAGATGTAGAGTGGATGGGTCCATTGAGCTCTTCCACTTTCTGCCTGTGACCTCTGACCTCTTCATGATCAAGGTCACCATCATCCGCTGGCCAGGGGACTGGGCCTTTTTGACCAAGCCCGTTTGCGCCCCTGCTCTGATCAGGCCGGTATCAAAGTGGACATTGAGCCTCATTCTCCTGTCCCTTTGGGAGGTCGGGGGACATCCAAGGGTTCAGGGACCCCCTGATTTTACTGTGCCATTCTTACTTGTCCATGGAGCAGGAAACAGCACTCCATAGAAACCCCAAGCCCCAGTGTTCTGAGGTCTCAGTAACTGTCGGAGGGTCCCTGTTTGCTGCTGTTTCGCATAGTGACAGTGAAGGCCTGCTCGCACGCCTGGCTCACCATGCGGCTTTTCTTCACTTCCCTCCTCTGCTCGAGCGCTGTTATTTGCACTGCATCGTTGTTCAGAGGACCAGCAACAGAAGCCCAGAGAGATTAAATGATGAGGTTGGGGTTACACTAACCAGTCAGTGGCTGAGCTGCAAATCAACATCGTGCAATTTGAAAGAAAATACCTCTTTTAGCCGTCATCCATGCGTCCACCATCCATCCGTCATCTGTCCGTCTGTCCATCCGTCCATCCATCCACCTGTCCCGCCTCCCTCCCTCCATTCATTTCCATCCATCTGCCCAACACTCCGCCCAAGCAGTTATTCACCCATCAACAGTGTGGGACACATATTATTTGAAAGTGGCACAAGAATAGCTTCCATTCTTGAACACTAGCTAAGCCCCGGGCTTCCCATTGACCGCTCATTTAATTTTCTCGGGAACTCTACGAGGTAGTGATTATTATGGCACTTCGCCACGGAGCTGTAAGTCAGAGAAGCAAAGGGGCTTTTCCAGCTCGCGAGTCGGGAGCGGCGTTCTGAACGGGGGGCCTGCCCGCCCTCAGACTCGTGCTCCGGAGCGCGCTGATTCCCAAGTAGACCCTGTCTCGGTCTTCTGGATGCTGTTGCTCACGCCGGTCATACCTGTGGGTGTCTTTCACCCATCCCCCCTTCTTCCCAGAGAGTTTATGGGCCAGTTATCTGCACAGCCTTCTCTCCGACTGCCCCCCCGCCCCGCCCTGTTCTCTCTCTGCTCACTCACCCCTCCTTCCATGCTAGAGTCAGCTCGTCTGAGCTCACAGTGGTGCCGACCTCCTTCCAGCTCCCATTCGGCGACCTCGTGCTGGTGGCTTGAGGCTGGCCCGTGCGGGGCAATCACACCACAGAAATGCTGCAAAGCCGGGCTTTCTCTGTCGGGGAGCCCGTGGCTAAATACTTAGGAGCACTGCTCTGTCCACCCACCAAGCTTCTGTTCCTTTACTTGTTGATCTGACAGTCTATTCTTCTGCCATCGACCCGGCTTTAGTCACCCGGCCACGTGAATCCATTCACCTGCCATTTCATGCACCGACTCAATACACGCATCCGTCCGCCCCATCCCGGTCCAGCCACCCGTCTGCCTGTCATGCTCATCCGCCTGTCCAACCCTCCTCCTCTCTGTCCACCCCCATCTTCATGCATCACCCACACACCAGGTAGTCCCCTAACTCACCCACCTGCCCGGCCACCCACTGGCCACCCATCCAGCATCTCGCAGACATGCCGAGAGCCTTCTGCGTCCTAAGTCCCGGGCTGGGCTCTGAGACAAGGGGACGGCCCAGACACAGTCCCTGGCTCTGTGGTTCCCCATCCCCGAGAGAGGGGGCCCAGGCTGTTCCCGTCCCCCCAGCAGCAGGGCTGCTGCGCCCCAGCCCCGAGCTGCAGCTGGTGCTGCTGGCGCGAGTCCCCGCGGGAGCCCGCCCCGACCGCTGCCAGCCCCTCCCACCTGTCCCCGTTGTCCACGCCACCTTACCTGAGTCTCCTTTCTCCTCTGTTGTCCATGCCTTGTCTCCTCCCTGTCCTGCCTGCTCCTCTCACCTGCTCTCCTTCCGCCTGGCTGCTTGGGGGCTCCAGCTTTCTCCAGACCTGACCAGGCTCAAGGAGAGATACGCCAGGACTAAGAGAGACATCTTGGCTTTAAGAGTTGGGGGGAGAGACATGCAGGAGCTGAAGCACAAGTACGATTGTAAGGTATTGTCTGTCTGTCCCTCCCTGGCCCTGGGTGGGGCCCTTCAAAGGGCCTCTCTGCTGCTCCAGGGGCCCAGCAGAGGGCCCGAGCGTCCAGCTCACCTCTGAGCTGGGCACCGGCTGACCAGCGCGTCTGGCAGGTGCTCCAGCAGCTTCTTTTTTGCCACGAGCTGGCCTCTCGCGCGCTGCCCACCCCCAAGAAGTCCTGGGTGGGCATCAGACACTGGGGGCCGTCGCATGACCTGGGAAGCTTTGGAAAGAGCTGACACCTGAACTCTCTGGAGAGGCTGATTCTGCAGCTCTGTGCCCAGGCCCAGGCATCTGCATATTTAGTTAAACTGTGGGTTAAGTGTTGACAAATGTGAACACTGGTGCCGCTGGCCGTCCTCCCTGCCCGGGCTGGTCAGAAAGACCCAGAGTACGGACGTCTGTGGGAGAAATGGCAGCCCTTCTCCTGGGGGGCCCTGGCTTCTGGAATCGGTGGTGACAGCAGGAGCTTCTGTTCAGGAGCAGGGACGGGCGCTACAGGCTCTGGAGTCCTCAGGCCGGGGCTTGAATCCCGCCGCCTGCTCGCAGTGCGATCCTGGGCAGGCCTCTGACCTCTCTAGCCTCGGTTTCCTTGCCTGTGAAACGGGCGCGTCAGGGGTCCAGCCAGGGTGGGTGTGTGGACCGGACAGCTCAGGGCTGCAGGGAGATCAGGGCTGCGTTGGCACAGCCTCGGAGCTCGGCGCTGGGTGAGCCCTTTTCTCCCAGGGTGCCCTGGGGTGGGGCCGCCGCCTTGCTGGCTGCTGTCATTCAGCACTAGAGAGGCTGGGGAGTGCGGTGGTCCTGGCTGCCATCAGCAGCGGGGCGCAGGGGGGCCAAAGGGGGTGCCCCGCCCTGCAGCACTGTCTCAGCAGAACCCGAGGCCTCCCATGGGGGGGGGAAGGGGCACTTTAGCGGCTGTGAAGCCTGTACAGACCCCCCACCCAGTGCTTCTGACCTGCTGGGGGTATGTTTGACTGAGGAAGCTGAGGTCAGAGAGAAGCAGGGCCTGTGGGGGTGGGCAGTGTGCAGGGGGCGCCTGCTGGCGTGCCCTCTACCTGCAAACAGGTGGAGGTGGCAGGGTGACTGAGGGACACCCGTGGGGCTCACCCGCTGTTCCTTTTTGTCCAGAAAAATGCCAAAGAGAGGGCCCTCCATTGGGTGCTTGGGGTCGTAGGAGGGCCCCGCCGACGGCTTTCAGCCAGACTAGCACGCGGGCTCTGGGACAGTTTTCCAGTCCAGGCTTGTGACCCCTCACCCAAGAGGGTGAACATCTCTGTGCAGTTTCTGGGGTCAGCACCTGTTCCCCAAAGAAGATCCTCAAAGGCCTTTATGCCCCTCACTCACAACCCCCGCCCCGCCCCAAAACCTAGAATCACTGCTCTGGATTGCACCACTTGGATGCGGGGGGCTGGGACTTCCCTTTCTTCCCTTCCCTCCTGCTGGTTGTTTCCAGAAAGTCAGCCTGTTCCTGAAAGCCTCCGCCCTGCCCCAGCCCTTCGGGCAGGAGCCGGTTCCCTTGCACTGCACTGCCCCTCTGGAGAGCCGCGCGGCTGCTGAATGGCCGTGACCTATGATCGGGACTTCGGGTCCTGAGCCTCACGGCTGTTTTGCGGGTTCCCCGTAGCTGCCCCAGGCCAGCAGCCCTGGCGTGGGCGCACCGGCGAGCTCCTCCATCCTTGTGGACAGCTCTGTGGGACGCACTGACCATGGGTGGCGCAGATCTGGCCAGGGCTGGGTGGGGGCGAGGGGGCTGAAGGATGACCAGAGGCAGCGGTCAGCTTGGAGGCCGGGGCCGCCCCAGCGCGCAGCCCCCACTGCATGCCGACGCCCGAGCGCGGCTCCGCTCAGCTTGCTTCGCCTGTGCTGGGCTGCTCCTGCCCAGAGGAAGCGCCCCGCCCCGGCAGCTCAGCCTTTCCCCCCCTTCCTGGGCAGACAGTAAGGAACCTGGGTGTTTGGGGGGCTGGGGGGACTCTCCCTTGGGTGCAGCGGACGGGAAGGGGTGGCCACCTCCTTTAGTCACCCCTGAAGTAACCGCCAAGCTTTGTGGAGTTGTTCCCGCGCGGAGAGGCTTCCAGGCCAGGAGCGAGTCCCCGCAGGGGCCGCGCGGCATCTCAGTGAGGAAACTGAGGCTGAGTGAGGGTGAGGCTTGTCCAGGGTCACCCCGCCAGGGAGTGGGGAGCCGGCCCAGGCTCCGGGCCCAGACTCCAGGCCTGCAGCCTTCCCCAGAGTCGCACATTCTCCTTAGCTGACGCGACAGCCGGTCAGGCCCCTCGCCCACAGGGGGGCCCAAAGGACACCCTGGGCAGGGACGCCCCAGGCCCCGCCCGGAAGCCCTGGCAGCACCGCCTGCTGTCCCTGTGACCCCTGCCACTGTCTTCCCGGGAGTGGGGGGACCTGAGGTCCCGGGCCTGGTGCCTGCTGGGCGGCCGGGGTGGGGGTGCCTGTGGCAGGTGTCCCCGCGCCGCCCTCGGTTCTCTGATGAGTCCTCTGCCTTTGCCCAGATGACCCAGCTCATGAAGGCCGCCAAGAGCGGGACCAAGGATGGACTGGAGAAGACCAGGATCGCTGTCATGCGCAAAGTGTCCTTTCTGCACAGGAAAGACGTCCTCGGTGAGGCGCTCAGGCCAGGCTGGGCCGCGCTGGGGTGTGGGGGCTCTGGGGCTCAGCCCTGTGGCGGGGACGCTGGAGGGCGAGGCGAGGCTCCCACCTGGGGGCCCCCGCTCCCCGCTCCGCTCCCCTGGCAGTGGGGTCCCCAGTGTTCAGCCTCTTTCCACTCGGAGGCGTGGCCTGTCTCTTCTGGGGGAGGTGCCCCCACCCCTTGTGTCCCTGCCTTTGTCGGGATCCCTGGCCTCAGCCAAGCAGACCCCGCTCACTCTTCACCCCCTACCCCGCCCCCGCACGTGCCGGGCCCAGCTGGGTGCAGGGAGCAGAGGAGCAGACTGGCGTTTCCTCCAGGAGCTGCCGGCGGGGGGGGGGGGGGCGGGCGTGTGCAGGGGAAGTGGCCAGGCAGCTGCACGGCGCCTGGCAACAGCCCGCTCCGAGGCCCGCGTGGTCAGCCCAGTGTCTCGTGACGCCGCAGAGCGTCCTCACACACCTGGGGCGGTCACTCATCCGCACCTCACCACGGACAGGGGTCCCTGCCGCACGGGAGGCGCGTGGGTGGCTGCGACAGGCGGGAGTCCCGGGGCGCTGGTGGGGGCGGAGTGACGGGCCAGGCGAGGGCTGGGAGCGGGAGGCCAGGTCGGCCGGCAGTGGGCATCGGCCGCTCCAGGAGGAGGAGCCAGGCAGAGGCCTGGAGGTGGAAAGCAGAGCTTTGGGAACTGCTTTTCGCCATCGTCAGCGTCTCTGGGACATCTGTGGTGCGCGGGTGCTCCTCAGTTCCTCCCTCAGTGCTTGAGACGTCACCCAGGAGCAGATGACTGTCCTATTCCCATGGGAGTGAGGGGCAGGCGCGGGGCGGACGGGTGACCGCCTGGGACACACGGGGTGGGACAGGAGGAGTCAGCCTCTCGCACGGCGGGAGCCAGGAGAGGGCCCTGGGGGGAGGGCGCCCCTCGTGTCCTCTTGAAGCCATCTGTGCTCCCCTCTGCGCCTCTGCTGCTCACCCTTACAAGGGGGCAAATCTGGCATCTGTCTCAGGGACAGGGCAAGGGTGACCAGCTGGCCCAGCTCCCGGCGCCCCGTGGCAGTGCCAGGCCAGGGGTGGCCACTCCGTGAGGTGCTCCGGGCTGGACGGCGGCTCCTGGCTGTGTGACCTTCACGGCTCTTCTCCTAGAACCGTGGGTTCCTCTTCTGTGACAGGGGTTCAGCCCCACCTCTGTGTGCTGTTCTAACCCTTTGGGGGGCACAGGTCCCGGATGAGGGAGGGGACAGGCGGAGGGGTCATTCTTAGCAGGGTGTCCGGGGGAGTGGCAGGGGGCTGGCCAACTGGCTGGGAACTGCTTCTGGTCATCATTCCCACCCCCGGGCCGGCCAGGCAGCCAGTGGGCTCTCCCCGGCCCTGTCCACCCCCCTTCACCCAGAGCCTTTCCTGAAGTGACCCTCCCACCAGCAGTGTTATTAATAGCTGCAGCCGGGCTCGAATCACTGGCCAAGAATGTTACCCAGTGGCGCAGGGGGAAGAGGAAGCCGCGGGGCCAGGGCTGGGGTGGGTGCGGAGTGACGCCCGGGGGGCCATGTGGGCCAGGCAGGAGGGCCCTCACCACCCCCATCCCCACCCCCGCCCCCGCGCGGTCGCCCGCTGTCCCTCCTCCTCCTCCTCGTCCGTCTCCTGCTCAGGTAAGGGCCTGCCGGTGTCCGGTCCCTGTCCCTTTGGGGTCACCACCACCCTTCTCTCCCAGCTTCCTCCCACTTCCTGCCGGCGCCACCTCTGGGCCCAGAGTCAGGGGGGCCAGGGCCGTCTTCCTGGGCCCGTGTCTCTCGTGGGGGCCAGGACCCCCCGACCAGACCCTGTCTGCACCCCTCTGTTGTCTCGGAGACCTGCCCCCAGCCACTGTCCTGAGCACACACCAGTTGGTTTTTTGCATTGTTTCTTTGAAAGTTGAAACACAAAGCCAAATAGGGCTGTTCTTCTCGGGGTTCGCCCACCTCCCCCC